ATATATATATTAGCGAAATCTAAAGGACTAAAGCCAGTTTGTCGTCATTTACCCAGAATGCAACATCTGTGTGACATTATTTTAATTTATAAAAATTAAACAGCCATTATTTTCACTATCTGGACATTAACAAGCATCCTGGCCTCTGTTGCTTTTATAACCTACAATAAGGACACTAGCTAGTGTTCTACTACTCTGACCATTTAGCTAGCCTTTTGCTACTTTTAGCATTTAGCTATAGTTTTGCTGCTTTTATCTATTAGCTAGGGTTTTGTTACATTTAGGTTTGCACTTTATAACATTTATTAGCTAGTGTTTAGATATTTTTTAGCTTTTTGCTAGCCTGTTACTAGGTGTTAGTATTTTGCTACCTATGTAGCCCTTTGCTTTGTTTGGCTTTTAGCCATTTTGTTGTTACATTAAGGTTTAGCTAACATCCCATGACATGTGCCTTTTAGCTAGTGTTTTGCTTTTAGCATCTAACTACAGTTTTGCTAATATTAGCTTGTGTTTTGTTACATTTAGGTTTAGCTAGCGTTTTGCTATATCTGGCATTTGCCTAGTGCTTTGATTTTTCTTTTACTGTTTGCTAACCTGTTGCTATTTTGAGGTGTTAGGATTTTGCAACCTGTGTAGCTTATTGCTATGTTTAGTTTTTAGCTATTTTTGTTGCATTAAAGTTTAGCAAACATACTAATGCCTTTTAGTTAGCTAGTGTTTTGCTTTCAGCATCTAGCTGCATCTTTGAAACTTTTAGCTATTGGCTAGCATTTTTCTACATTTAACATTTAGCTAGTGTATAGACTTTTTAAACTTTTTGCTAGCCTGTTGCTATATTGGGGTGTTGGCTAGTATTTTGCTACTATGTAGCATCTTGCTATGCATGGCTGTTCGTTTTTTTTTATCGAGTTAACATTTTAGTTCTTTTGGCTATAGCTAGTCTTTTGTTACATTAAGCTTTAGCTAACATGCTGCTACTTGTGCCTTTTAGCAAGAGTTTTGTTTCTTTTTCATTTTGCTGCTTTATAACTAAAGAGTAACTTATCCCAAAATTAACTTTTTTTAGCTGATAAACTGTCTAGAATGTGTCTAAAATGTTATATAGTACTGTTTCTGTGCTAATTT